GATGCAGAAATCCCAGTCAGAAGGTAAATAAAAACATAAGTCTATACAAACTTATACATGAATGTTTATGGAAGATTTATTCATAATCACCAAAAAGACTACTTAATCAAGTATCTATTAACTAGTGAAGGAAAAAACAAGTTGTGGTATGTCCATTCAATGATATTATTCAGCAATAAAAAAGAACTAACTACTGACTTATGCAAAAACATGTGAAGCATGTTGCAAAGTTGCATTATGCAAAGCTGACTCAAAAGGCTACATACTGTATGATTCCATTAATACGACGTTCTGCAAAAGACAAAACTATAGGAACAGAGAACAGATCCGTGGCTGCCAGGGGCTGTGGGGGTAGAAGGGGACTGACGACAAGGGACACAAAGGAACGTTTTGAAGTGATGGAAATGTTCTATATCTTGATTGTAGGGGGGGTTAGATGACTAAACATGTTTGTCAATTTACAATTTGCAGGGAATTTTACTGTATATAAATCATCCCTTAATAAACCCATCTTTTATTTTTTAACACCTCTATTGTGGTATGGTTCCTGTATAATAAACTACACATATTTCAAATGTACAATTTAATGCATTTTGATAGAAGTGTATACCAATGAAACCACTACCAATCAAGATTGCTAACATTTCCATCACTCCCCAAGAGGTACAGTTTTAGAATTCCCAACCTATCCCTTCCCATCTCCTTTACCTACTAGTAACCTTAAAAATAAATCTGACTTGTGGAAAAAAAAAAAAGTCAAGCCATGTATTACTAACCACAAAATTAAATAAATTTTCAAAATTAAGTGTCAGCCTGGGTTCCTTAGAAAATACAGCCTGATCAAAATGTATGCCCTAATGCTACATGGCAATCCCAGGGAGGCGAGGGTGAGGGGAGAGTAGGGTGATCAAGGAAGGAGGAAGAGGAACCACAAGGCATGTGTTACTGGTTCGGAACTGGCCCGAGCTGCGAGGGGACAGGCAGCTGGTTGTTGTTCACACGGGTCTGCTCCAGAGAGGTCGTGTGGAACCCGGAGCCCATTGAAATGGCCCATTGGGAAGAGGAAAGGCAACTGATTTATCTCCTGTCTCCATGTGCCCAGGCTTGCCCACGCAGGACTCCTCCCCACCTCTGGGTGGTTACCCAGACACCACATACGGTTTCTGGGGCCACCAGACCTTCAGCAGGCCCTTGGGGTCAGACCTCTGCACCGGAGCTATGGCATCTCTCGCCCCAATGGGCAAAACAGAGGCCTCGCCTCACGTCAGCCCTATCCTGGGGGAAAGCATGAGCCTATCAACAGTGTCAGGAGATGGGCCCGAGAGCCGGGCCGGGGCTGTGTGACTGCAGGGGTGGGCAGTGGGAACCATCACTGGAGAAGTGTGACAAGAGGCCCAGGCCTGGGGCAGGTGGGGCCGGCTGATGTGGGGAGGCCCCTACACTGGGTCTACAGCAATGGACTAAAACTGAGACTCCATCTAAACTGAAGGAATAGGGGTAGGGGAGAGCATAGCTTAGTGGTAGAGCACGTGCCTAGCATGCATGAGGTCCTGGGTTCAATCCCCAGGTGCATGAGGTCCTGGGTTCAATCCCCAGTACTGCCGTTAAATAAATAAACCTAATTACCTTCCCTCAACAAAAAATAAATAAATAAAAAATTTTAAAGAGCAATTTAATTTTTAAGAATATTCCACAGATACACTCAGGAAACCTCAAACAGACAATTTCTATCCATTAAATTTGTTCATGTGGTGATCTCACCCCACCTTCACATAATAAACACGTTCAGATCCGTGAGGTTTAAGTCCTGTGTCAGGTTGGGATGTGTGTGGGCAGCTCCCTAGAGAAAACAGACTCTGGCACATCTAAATAATGTCTTCCTCTGAACAGATCTCGGGGCTAATTCACAACCCACCCGTCGTCGTGGCACAGATACCACCCTTCAGAAAACGATACCTGCTAGTTAAAATTCAAAACCTGAAGACTGCGTCTCTAATCTTGCCTCTAAAATGTCAATGTAAAAGTGTTACAGTTCAGGGACCTGAGAAAGCTCAACTCTGTATTTTATAATGACTATGTATTTTGCTTTAAACAATATACTGAGGGTTGACCATGTGCTTTTATATGTACTACCTTACTTAATCCTCATAAGCACGTAGGAGGTAGGGCATGTTACTGCTCTCATCACAGGTGAAGAAACCAAGGCACAAAGATGTGAGTCACTTGCGCATAGCCAGTTAAGTGGCAGCGCCAGGCTCTGAACGCCAGTGGTCTCACCCATACCCACGATCATCCACTGAAGAGATGTGTGAGTACCTGCCGGGATCTGGAGGTACAGGCAGCACGTGGGCCTCTGGGAATGACAGGCATCATACAAGTCCTTACAAGTGGATGAAGAAGAAGCAGAGAGTGCTACGGATGCTCACACCTGTTGCCTACTGAAAAGTCTGTAATACAAATACGTGGTCATGTTAATACCAACTATCAACGTCAAATCTATAAGCCCACATATTCAGGAGAAGATGTAAGCTGGGAAGCACTGGCATCTCTGGTGTTATGCAGATGTTAAGTACTGCAGTCATTTTCAAAACAGATTCTGATCATTTTTTTTCCAATGTGTTAACTGATTTATGTGAAAAAATATTACTCAGGCTTTAAAGTTCAGTGAAATTAATTATAATTTCCTTTAGTCATCTTCATTTTAAAAGAACAAAATATATAAATTCTGGTACTGCTTAGGAAAATCCAAGATTCCTGTTCATTTTAACAATAAGACAGCTTGTTCACATAGCTAATTCCATGATAGATGGATAAACTCTGTGCTCTAGAAAAAGGTTTCTAAAAAGCAGCTTCTGGCTTGTTTGAGGAGACAGTATGAATGACGTAGCCCTAAGGAGCCCCCATTCCGGGGTCAGAGACCAACCCGGACTGGATTCCAGGTCTGTCACTTACGACATAACATTGGGCAGATTTCTCAGCATTTATAGGTCTTGATTTCATCTGTAACCTACGATTAAAAATGGTTCATACCTTAAAGAGTTGCTGTGATGATTAAGTGAGAAAATGCCTGCAAAGTGCTAGCACAGTTCTTGACCTACTGTAAGTGAGCACCTAGTGTCTGTGAGCTGCCGTCACTATTAACACTATTATCCTAAATAGCTTGCATAGTGAAAGAGGCAGGAAGGGAAGGAATAGTGAATGGATGGTGTGTGAATGAGATGCTTAAAATGTGTCAGGGAGCTTGGCCTCAGGTAACAGTTGATAACAGGAAGGTCAGCAGAGTGGGCAGAGCTAGAAAATCCTACACGCAGAGCCCTCGCTGGAAAAGAGAAGGGCAAACAGAAACTGACAGCAAGTTAGCAGTTAGTTAACTTGAGCTTAAGATGAGAGAGAACTTCAATGTGGGTAACTGTAACAATCCACCTCGGGTTTTCTTTCCTGCCTGAGCGGCACCTAGAACACCTCAGTGAGGAGAAGAAACAGCTCCAACTAGCCTGCCTTTCCACTCTGGTCCTGCCCACCTGTCCTTATCCTCTGTCGACAGGTGTATGTGAGCCTCAGGTAAAGCAAACATCAGCTTATGAGTCACATGATAAAAGTCACAAGTTGGAAAGGGACCCAGAAATTCTCTGAACTGGTGGCTTTCGAGATTGCAAGCCACAAAACCGTTCTTAAAAGGGAAGTGTGAACAAAAAGATAAAAACATGCAGCTACTCAGGCCCCAACAGAGATGGCGTCCCAGAGCCCGGGCAGCTCAAGTCTCAACCTGCCCACCCTGCATCTTGCATGCGGCTCTGAAGCACAATCTGAAAGCCTCTGATACTGTCCTACCCTTCAATTTTAGAGATGTGGAAATGAAGGTCAGGAAGGTGAGGGGCAAAGCCGCAACAAGCCAGGGGAAAAGCTAGAAACACAATCCAACCAGTTTTCTGTTCATCAGTCAGGTTCTCTTTTTACCACTGAATATTACCTTCATGACCAACATGCCAAAAAGATGAGGAAGAAAGCAAACCGTGTTTGAGAAGAATGTGCATCAAAAAACATAAAACTGTATGTACGTTCATGTGTAACTGAAAAATTGTGCTCTACACTGGAATTTGACACAACATTGTAAAATGACTATAACGCAATAAAAAAAAAGTTTAAAAAAAAAACATAAAACTGGAAGGCTGAGGGAGGGAGGTATGGCTCAAGTGGCAGAGCACATGCTTAGCATACACAAGGTCCTGGGTTCAATCCCCAGTACCCCCTCTAAAAATAAATAAGTCAACTAATTACCTATCCTCCCCTGAAAAAAAATAAAATAAAATATTTTTTTAAAAACTAGAAGGCTGGAGAGCAACCAGGCTGGCAGTGACAGCTTGGGCTCCACTAATCTGCATATGAACAAAACATCACCTCCATCAGTGGCTGACTAGAGTTACCAAAATGGTTTTTTGAACATTAAAAGAAATTAAGCCAAAAAAAAAAAACCCTTCACAGTGAATGCCTAACAGATTCACATTTACAACTATGTTGCATATGCATGCACACAATTACACTTTGGAGGAAGTTTAAGCCACATTAATGGGGCTGTGAGGGAATGAAAAAAGGGAGTGAAGAGCCAACAAAATTAACTACAGTGACTAATGGATGAATTACAGTCATACAATGCTGGGCATGATTTGGTGTTTTGTTCATAAAACTCCAGCTTAGATCATCCGGTTATACTTTAAAGAGTTTGCATTCTACAAA